GGGCTGGGGATTCGAACCCGCCACCTTAGGTGTATGTGGCTGGCGCCTTAGCCGCTTGAGCCACAGGCGCCGAGCCGAGGATATGGCTATTTTAAGATCAAATTATCATTAACTGAAAAAGACTGCAACTATATAAAATATTTGTACACACACTATAAAGATCAAACTAGGAATTAAAGTGTTGGTGTTTTAGGTTCATGCAATTTTTCCTCATAGCACTGAAGGCATAAAAAGTAAACATATATTGGAAATACAACAAAATTTTAAAAATAAAATAAAAAGAAAGAAATTTAAAAAGCAGGGAAGTGAAAAGTTCATTTTAGAAAATATTTCACCTCAAATACTCAAAATAAGTAGCTCTGATATTTAGAAGGCTAAGCTTCACTGGTTGTAAACTTCACTTATATTTTACGTCTCACTACTTAAATATGTCAAATAACACTTTGCTACTGAATTCTTTGCTTACCAATCCTCTGGTTTGACGGCAGAAGAATCGGGGATTTTTGCTCTTTCATCCCACTCATCAGGTTTTTTATCACTGGGATCATCAATTTCTTTGGGAGGATTGATGGGAGGAACTACATCCTCTAGCAGGCTTCCTTTGTTTACAACTATTTGATCAATTAATACCTCGAATGTATTATCTGGATTCATCACTAAAAACCAATTTAAATATTGATATTATGGTTATCATTTTAATAGACATTTTAAAGATAATGTTCTAAATAACGAAACTACCCTAAACTTCATGGGTAACATTTTTCCCATTTTCCCAACCAGAAACAAAGGAAACCAACGTATTAAATCAAAACATGTTGAAATCACTAGACATATAAAATATACTTACATATATATTTTTTCTAAAATGAAAGATAAAAAATTTGTTTTAAACTGAATTTTTAATATGAATGCTCCATTATGTCTCAAATAAAAAATGCCCTGTTTGGAGCTCTGTTTGGGACTCATGACCACTCAGCTTCATGCATGTACAGTTACGGAATACAGCCCAATTTTCTTCAGCACTTTTACATTTTTTGAAACAATTGAAACTTAAAGAGTTGCAAGAATACTTTCAAAAACCTTACAATTTTTTCCTGAGTCAATTAAGAGTAAGGTACTGACCTCATAAGTATCACCCCTAAATAGTTTAGTGTCTACTTCCTAAAAACAAGGACATTCTTCTACATAACCACAGTCCAGTCACCAAAATCAGAAAATTAACAATTATACATTATCATTTGGTAGAAATTTTTGAGGGTTCATTGGCATTGGCATTTCAAATTCGGTGACTCATATACTTCAGTGTTAAATATTTTAATGGCGATTTAAAATATTCAAGTTTATACTTACCTGCATATTTGTTTCAAGGTAAACTCTAGCCCTCTAGAAGTTCCCAAGTCAAAAATTTAATAAAGGGACTCCCTTTATCCTTTTTAATGACAAAAAGACCTCTCCTCCTTCTCTAACTATTGAGTCACGGGATAAAATTTGGATCTTTGGGAAGAATGATAGATGAAAATAGCTGCCTAACAGTGCTTTCAGTAAGTGAAAGAAGTTAGGAGTCGTCAGGATCATCCTGACTTAGTTAAGTGAGCTGCTACTTTCTGAAGAAATATCTCTGAAGAAATAACAATGTCCAAAGGTTTCAGTCACAAAAATGCCAAATTATTCATATCAAAATCAAATAATGTAATTTATATACAATAAAGCAAAGCCATACTCAGTATTTTCTCCCTTCTTTTTTCTCCTGTTTCTTATTTTATAGCTGAGATTATAAAAAGTGCATTACTAAAATGAAAGGAAATAAATCAAGATTGAAAGTAAAGCTAAGGGTAACATCTTAAATACAAAAAAGACTAAATTCTTCCTTAACCAAAAAAAAAATCTTATGAGGGTGTGGAGGTGAGGGTGGAGGATGGGTGGAGGAAGAGTAATTGGTGGGATGACACCTACGGTGCATCTTACAATGGTACATGTGAAATTTACTAGGTGTAGAACAGGGGTCCTCAAACTTTTTGAACAGGGGGCCAGTTCATTGTCCCTCAGACCATTGGAGGGCCAGACTGCAGGCCCCAGGATGAGTCGGCTGCTAAGCAGGACAGGCAGTGGTGGCAAAAACACCCGGCAGGCTGGATAAATGTCCTGGGTGGGCCGCATGTGGTCCGCGGGCCGTATGAGGATGACTGGTGTAGAATATAAATGTCTTAACACAGTAACAAAGAAAATGCCGTGAAGGCTATGTTGACCAGTTTGATGAAAGCATTTCAGATTGTGTGTAAAACCAGGACATTGTACCCCAATGATTGCATTAATGTACACAGCTATGATTTAATAATAAAAAAAAAAATCTTACAAAGTATTCTGAATTTGCAACTGAAATCAACTTTTAAAAACTACTGTTAAAATGAAAATGCACATGTCAAAGGACTCATATGTGGGGAAAAAATCTCTGCTCAAAATCTTTGGCCAAAAAATTTTTCATTTGGAAAACTTTATAAACTATTTTAAATGAATCTACGACTTTCCAAATTTTTCATTTGAAAAACTTTAAGAACTATTTTAAATGAATCTACGATAAAGACACTGGATTACGTAGGATCATATAAAGTTTGTAAAGTTACTGTATGTGACTATAGAATAATATCATAAAAATATATTAGTATTGCAGAAAGGTGTTTTTAAAAGAAAAAAAGTAATCCCAGCACAAGGATCAAAGTTTTTGTGTAGAGCAGTAAAAAAAGTATTTAGAAGTCAGACTTGAATTCTAGCCCTACCAGTTACTTGTTTCCAAGGACAGGTTATTTAACTGAACTAAGGCAAAACAGAATAGCAATGTGCATATCCCAGCATGGTTCCAAACAAGGTGCCAACTATAAAGTATGGAAGATGTCAAGGGATTAATGACAATTAGTCCTTTTTCCCTAGTCTTTCCCTATCTGCATGCACAATTTACCTAAAGGCTATCATGAATTGTGCCCATAATTTGAATCTTGCTTTCTTTCCTCATTTTGATATTATGTATCATTTCTCCCTGTTGCTAAACATTTTCATTGTTACCATCTTAGTAACAGACAGAAACTTCCCCTAACTGTAACATTTGGGTTGCTTCAAATTTTCAGTATAGTTTCACTCCCCAATTATTTTTTCTTCTAGGTTATTTCTTTTGGATAAATTTCTGTAACTAGAATTGTGGTTTCTGAAGACATATGAGTCTGACAAGTAAGTTTCTGAACTTGCCACTGTGTGTTTACGTTGGCAGCACCCATACAACAACCTGATAAGGTTCCATAATCTTAGTTCAGGGTCTGAAATCTGTGTTCATGTCAACACATGATGGTGTCTTGCTGAGTGGCATTCGTTATTGTTGCATGGTTTTGTGTACCACTGTAAGAAAGCCAGAGCTTAAATTAGAGCCACAAACATTAAATTTCTTGTTAAAGTTGACAAGAGTGGAAGTGAAATTAGGGACATCTTAGTCCAAGTTTATGGGGAGAATGCCATGAAGAAAACAGCAGTGTACAAACGAATTTAATGTTTCTCTGAGGAGAAATAAAGTGTCACTGATGAAGAGAGGTCAGGGCGGGCATAACGAGCAGAACTTGTTAAAATATTGTAAAAATTCGTCATATTATGCATGAAAATCTTTGACTGACTGTGAGAAGCATAGCAGATCAAATAAACATCAATAGAGAAACAGGCAGGAAAATCATAACTGAAAATCTTGGCACGAGAAAGGTGTGCTCCTTGCATCACAACACGGCACCAGCTCCTACGGCTGTCTCTGAGGGAGTTTCTAGCCAGTAAACCAATGACTGTGCTGGCACACCCTCCCTACTCACCTCATCTGGCCCCCAATGACTTTTTTCTTTACTCAAGATAAGTGAAATATTGAAAGGAAGACATTTTGATGGATGACATTCAGGACATAAAGGGTAAATATAATGATGTCTCTGATGGTTATTCCAGAAAAAGAGTTCCAAAACTGCTTTGAAGAGTGGACTAGCTACAGGCATTTGTGCACAGCTTCCTGAGGGAAGGGGACTTCAAAGGTGACTGCAGTGATAGTCACCAATGAGGTATGCAGTAGTTTTTCTAGGATGAGTTCATGAACTTAATTGTCAGACTTCATAAACCTCTTATGGCTTTTGATTTATATTACCAAATTCTTTTTGACCAGGTTTATACAAAGTCAAATGAAATTAATTTGTTTTGTTCTCATTTTACCTTCTCATTATTTCTAATTTACTTGGTTTTCCCTGAAATATCCACTACTATGTTCCAGAAAAAGTTTTATGATAGTATATCCTATATTAAAGATAAAAAGGGTATTGCCTTAGCAAATAAAATGAATGTTTCTGCAGCTGCAGCCTTTGGGGGAAAAAAATCAAAATACCTTACTCTTGAATGGAATTGAGACTTAAGAAAGGAAGCTGACAGAGCCATTTCCAAATGTCCTACTAGGTTCTGACACTCTGTGATTTTAAGTAATGATGAGTAGACCAAAGCTCTACAACCATGTGTACTCAGGAATGACAGAACCCTTTATAATGTACCTCTACCCCATATCTATTCAACTTCTTATTTACTTAAGTATATTATATTAATATAAAGTTGCTCAATGCTTTTCCCTTCAAAGTTAAGTATGTGCCATAAGCCATCAGAATAATCACAATGGCCTGGAGAGTAAAGTCTAAACTTTTCAGCCTGGCATTAAAGCAGCTTTCCTCTTTACTTTATGTTTTCTGTTTTTACAGGTCAACTGTCACAGTACCTAACATGTCCTCTTCTCCACTGTCCTCCACAATCTACCTACAAATCAAATAAAATCTTCACTAGATGTGCTCTAAGTCTCCAAGCTGGAAGTATTAGATACCACTGTTTTTGAACTCTTCACTGTACCACATCTCCATCTCTCATATAACTTTCTACCTGTGCTGTCATTATGCACATCCTATTTCCTAAAAGAGGTACGCTCCTTAAGGGTAGGACTAGTGTTTGTTTTCTTCTAAAGCACTTGCCATTAATATATAGGTAGCAGCAAATATTTGTGAAGGAATGAATGAATTAAAAGGATATACCAAGGGTGTAAAGATGAGTCTTCCTGTCTGTAAAGAATGTTTTAAGGTCTACATCTGGAGGTTTGGCATGTTTCTCTTCAAAAACTCCAGTTTTGGGATGTTTATGTCTGAAGATAAAATGAAGTTTATAATCTTCTCCACATTTATCTGGTCCAAACATAATAGTATAGGATGTTTTATCATAAAAGTTTTCCTTCAAAGAGAGATGAGTGTTGGGATTAGTCCAGAATTACAGAATATTTATTGAATTTCTCTATTTTATCCCAATAGGCAGAATTTACAAAAATATATTTAATGCTAATTCAACAAAGAATTATTAAACACAAGTGACAATAAAGGATGTGGGAAAATGATAAATTTTACTTCAAAGTAGATTTAAAAAACATACACACACATACTACTTCCTTCCTGAAGATGGAAGACAGAGGCTAAACCCACCCTAGCAGCATCATAATAAGCTTTATTTACTTTATGTAAATCTGTATTGATGTTATTGAGACAGCTGAGCATTAGAGGAAAGTATACTTAGGACCTGAAGACTAAAATGATTATCCATTACTATTATCCAAGAAGATTCCAGAAAATGACTCCTTCGGCATGAGATGAAAAGAAATTCAAACACACAAACAGACACAAAGACAAGCTCCCTGTTTTATTACTAGTAACTTCTCTCTACATGGCATGACACAGTAGTTTAGAGCGTGAGGTCTGGATTCAGGTGTTGGGGGTTCAAACACTCTACTGCCACTTAAACTAGCTCTGTGTGGCACTGAGGGAATTTTTTAACTTCTCTGCACCTCTATTTCATCATTTCAGAAGTATGGAGATGATAGTAGTACCTACCTTATGAGGTTTCTCTGAGGATTAACTGAGTTAATCAAATAACATTAAATCAGATTACTTACACAAATACCTGGCATTAGATTTTTTGCTGTCTTACTTTTAGTGAACATTCATTATCTTACAACCTCTGAAACAAGAGTTTCAACATTTACTACGATGGCCTCTCTTCACACGAGGCTAACATGAATAGCATGTGGAAAAACTTTAAATCCACATTTCATAGCCTATACACAGCCATGCACTCTGAAAGGTATCTCACTGAAGTCTCGCTTGTCTCATTTCTGATATATGCAGAGAACCTGACATAGCCTCCTATTGGAGAATACTATAACCTCCAAATGCTCCTAATACAACCTCCTAGAATTACAAAAAGCTACTTCATTGTGAAAAGTTTTTAAAATTAGATCTTTTCTGAGGGTTCCAACCCCTGAACAGGCCTTAGTCTGTCATCTGGTTCTGTGGCCATTTCATTTTCCTGCTTTGCTCTGTTATCTTAACTTCTCTGAACAAATTTAAGATTCTCACTTTTTAAAGAAAATAACTCTAAGATGATATTTCAAGAACATTTCTAAGCACCATGTCATTTTTTATTTAACATGGTAAACTTTTTATGTTTAGCAAAATTACAAAATTGATGCCTTCAAATTAACATTTTATATGAAACTTGAAGGCAAATTATAAAAGCTATGTAAAATGTTGGAAAAAGACATTCAAAGTTCTTTTTCAATTTCAGTTGAAAATGAAATTTTCAGTATTAATTACTCCTTAAAAATACTTATTAACTTTAACAAGATTTTCTTAAATATTAAAATATCATACCAGAATCAAATCATCAGTGTCTGCTAGGAGCTTAATGTATGCACCTCCACAATCAATACCATCTTGAAAATTTACTTCATATCTAAATGAAGGGAAAAAGAACCATACTTCTGATAAATAAAACTTTCTAATTGTTCTTTAAAATCTAATCTATTACTCTCAATTCATTTAAACATACATGTTTTACATTACCAGAAAGCTCATATAAATCATATCTATAATCCATAAGAAATAAGCAGAAATTATCTGCCACTGCAATAAAAGATACATCATTAAAATATTAAAAGTAGAAGGAACATAATCAGCTATAAAAAACCAATCAACTTGTTTAAATATTTTTCCCATCAAAGTTGATAAACTAAGAATAAGATATTTTGACTAAAACTATACCACAAAAATTTCAAATTCTGATAAGGTAGGCACTGTATGTATATAAACTAAAAAAAAAAAAAAAACCAAAGGCCATAAGAAGAGACTTCTAAGAAATTGCTAATTATCTTAGATACCAAGAGTTCACTATTTGGTCTTTCAGTTCCACTGTACCTAATTTGTGTTAAATAAGTTGTACATTCAATTAAATAGCTCCAGCAAAGATTTCATAATCTCAATAAACAATCTGGAGTATTTCAGACCTAAAGACCCAGCGGACATTGGAAATTTTATTATAATAACAGCTAAAAGTTTGAACTAACATGAGTGAAGTTTTTTTTTTTTTTTGGTTTTTATTTTCTTAAAGGAACTAGACCTTGCTAAGACAATGAGACATAGACCTAGTAAAACAGCATTCAGTAGAGATATTCTGATAAAGCATATGCAAAAATAAATGAGGAAGTGGCTGTTACAGTGAAAAGTAGTAAAAACCAAAAAGGTTATGATCTGTTAAATGAATTAACACAAAAAGATGAAAAAATAGAGCAACAACTGGAAATAGTGATCATTTTAATAAAGAATAATAAATAATAGTTTTGAATGTTTCTGAAGAAATTTTAATGACAAGATGAAAAAAATAGCATACAAAATTTTATGCAAAATTTCAACAGTTTGAACCCAATTAGTATATATATTTTGTAGTAAAAAATCTCCAGAGATAAATTAAAAAATCCCCACAATAAAATTACTCAGTGATTAACTCTGCCTTCCCAGACTTGGGGGCTGTCCCCTGCACCTTCCACTATGCTTTATTTCCCACGCTCTACACAGCAGTGGTCAGGAGCATGCGCTCTGAAGCTGGAAAGACCTGACCCTGAATCTTTATTTATTGTATCGCTTCTCAGTCTTTTGGTTAAGATCGAGTGTAGTCTTTGTTTCACCACTTACACTAAGGGACACCTTGGATAAGGGCAAGTTGTTTAAGCTTTAAGTATCTATTTAGTCATTTGTCACACAGAGACATGATCCACACCTACACCACAAAGGACTGTTCTGATGAGGAAAGGATATCATGCACAATGATGGGCAAGTGCGTGCTCAGAAACACTCGATCCTGTGCTCATCAGAAGATAGTCTCTTGTTCTTTATCATTTTTTAAATGAAGGGAAGAAAGTTCATTTTCCTCAAAGCCCTATCTTTATTTTAAGCAAGAGCTGAAAATTTTTTCATGAACTTAATTCTTTAAAGACTATACTATAGAAGACATGGTATATTAAAGGACTTAAAGATCTGTTTTAATATAGGTTATCTAAGGACAAGAGATTCTGTGAAAAAGAATGAGGAAACAACTTTGCAAACTGGCTTTATAAATGTGACCATAGCTTTGTTGTGCTATTATGCCTAGATTCAATCACTTTGTCCATTTTTTTTACACTACAGATTTTCAGAGTTTTCTAATCATTAAATTGTACCTAATATAAATAATTTACAATGAATTAAAAAATAAAATGTTTGTCTTATAACTTGACTGCTGATCAAATTCAAGTTACAGGAAATCTGAGGACACGGGCAAAGAACTTTTTTTTGGAGGGGGGAGACAATCTCACTATGTCGCCCTCATAGAGCGCTGTGGCATTAAAGCTCACAGCAACCTCAAGCTCTTGGGCTCAAGCAATTCTCTTGCCTCAGCCTCCCAACTACCTGGGACTATAGGCACCTGCCACAATGCCTGGCTAATTTTTGTCGTTGCAATTGTCATTGTCGCTTTAGCTGTCCTGGGCCAGGTTTGAACCTGCCAGCCTCAGCGTATGTGGCCGGCGTCTACCCACTGAGCCATGGGCACCGCCCTGCCTGGCTATTTTTGTTGTAGTTGTCATTATTGTTTAGGTGGTCTGGGTTGGGTTCGAACCCGCCTGCCACAGTGTATGTGGCTGGTACCATAACCATTATGCTATGGGTGCCAAGCCTTAATTTCTTTACAGTATTCATTTCCCAAACTGTTCCATGAAGTAGTAACTATTGCTAGGGAGGAAAAATAAATTTACGTGTTCAAACATGTGTAGGACACATAAAACAAATAGGTTTTTACATATAGAATCTCTCAAAGTCTTCAATAGGCTAATAAGATAGAAAGCGATATTAGCTATATTAGCTTTCTATCTCTTAGGTCTTATCTATCCCAGTCTTACTTTCGAAAACTGAGATGAGCACATAATACATATTAACATGCACACAATTTCTACAAAGCAACTTTAAAGTTACATATCCATTGAATGTACAGGATTTTAATATAAAAAATCTCTTCATTTTATTTAGCTAATACTTAATTAATTTTACCAATATTAAGAAAGGACAAATATTCACTTTCCTTCTTTGAATAGAAAGAGTACTTTCAATTCTTGCCTCTTCTTTTTGTTTTTCAGGATCATCATTTCACAATTTATTTAGTAATTTTTTAGACTTATTTTCTAATCTCTGCTTCTATTTGTGTAAGCTATTATTTCCTTAGTTGTCTAGTAATGACTCATTGAAAATACTAAATTGGAAACATTTTACTCTGGAGAAGTTAAATTTTTTATTATTTTCCTTTATCCTTTCATTTAAACCACAAAGGGTCACAATGGAAAGTGATATTATACTCAACTAAGTTTCAAGAGAAGATTACCTTCAAACTCTCAAGGGAAAACAAACAAAATAATACCAAATTCAAATATTAATCCTAATAAATATTAATTCAAAGTCAAATATTAATCCCAAATAAATCCCAACCAATATTTTAAATTAGTTTAACTAATGGTCATGTAACCTTTGACATTACTTAATAGTGTAAATTCATTAAAATAGTCATTTTAATGTAGATTGAACCAAAGCATCCATCACGAGTAGAATATAAGCCAATTACAAGCAATGTCACATTTCCAAAAACCTCAAAAACACAAGATGGCATTTTAGTTACTCCACAAAGCAACTTGTTAACAAATAACTGAAGGGGTTCTAGAGCGATATAATACAGTTACTGATATTTCTGCATGCTGTAATTAACTTAGGACAGCCAAAGTTTCTAAGGTAGAAAGTAACATTTATACATTTTCTTCTTTCTTTGTTATTATAATTTTAAAGCTTTTATAATTGTGTTTGCATGGATTTGTTTT